TTTCTTATCCACTTCAATCGTCAGGGGGGTCAATCCGTTTTGCTTTCGCTCATTCGGGGCTTCTCTGTATTTTGTAGATGGCTATATGACGTGGATGTCCAGTCGCCTCTCCTTCCTTCTCATCTTCCTTCTGGGGGCATACGCCTTTCAGCTCTGCAACGCCTATAGCCTTTACCTAATCTACAACGAGGACAGTTGCAAGGAGTGGCACGTAAGTCGATTTGCCTTAAAATGTTTTTTCGCATTTCGGCCCCACTAGCTCGATAGCTGAGCTTTCTGACGTTTGAGTAAATACATGATGCGCCTACTACCGCTGTGCACGTTGTCCAACGTAACCTGTTTAAAACTTTGACAGTGCTTTTTTCCTCAGTCCAAAAAGTGGCTATTTTTTTCCTTTTGGAAAGGCAGTTAGGGAAAAATAGCATAATCCGGTACATTTGTGAACTGACTGATTGGCGTCAGGCTCAATGGCAGAGTAACATGGAACGTGGGTTCAGAGCTGTCATCCGGGCAGTCTGCTACTGTCTAAGGGGAACAGAGCGTATGCAGCATGTCTAGGCGCGCTGTTTAGCTTTGTCCTTAATTGCGCCCGCCGATCACCTCCAGTTGTCTTGATATTGTCTTGCCTTGGGATCCTGCTGCGTGAGGGAGTAATGACTGTGGTAGATACTGTGTAAGTCTGCCTCACGCCAAACAAACCCACGCTTTGAGCAATCTGTGATGCGCCCACCCTGTGAGGCACACGCTGGATGACGTGGACTGCGGTTGTCATGTATAGAATTGGGTGATTCCTAAGGCGCACTATTTCACTTCTCAGAGGGTCTGCTTCGAATTACTCAGACGGTCAGGACATTGGGAATGTATAGTGCGGCTGATTAGCTGGCCCTTTGGATATGATTTCGTTCCAAACTCGGTAGCTTACTTGTATTTCTACACTCTATGGCCACAATATGAGCTTGTAATTGTTGCGGCTGCGATCATGACTGCTCTAGCCAGCCTCGCTGATGTC